AACATATAAACCCCTTTAGGCAATGATTAAGATTTCAAACAAAGCAGATATCTTCTCTTCCATCATCCTCTATGAGGCAAACACGAATTAAAGAAAAATAGCGAAAAACAAAGGGAGGAGCTCACCAATAGCCAACTTTGATTGTTCCTTCTCAACGGGTACAGATCTTCTCAGTACTGGTCTTGTGCATCTGCTACTTCCTCTTGCTCTACCATTTTTTAAAAAAAGAGTGCTTGGGGAACACAATGGAGGGCAGAACCTAACCGTCTAGCAAATCGTTGGTGGAACTCTCCAAGTTCGTCAGCAGAGTGGTTTCGGGATAGTAAATCCATTGAGAAACAACGATTCAGCAGAAACAAAACCCTAATAGGAACCAAAGAACGAAAACAAACAGAGATTAGAAACTAACCACCCAACTAATCAGTCGGTGGACGACCCTTCTCCCTTAGCCAAGTTCGTTGATGATTTGCCCTCGTCCTTTTCTTCTCCGTCGTCTTCTTCGGCTTTTTCTGCTTCGTCTTTTTTCCTGTCATAGAGAGAGATGGGAGATGGATGGGTAGGAAGAGTTACAGCAGAGAGAATGAAAATGATAAAAAAAAAGTAAATAACACAAAACAAAGCGAATGCAAAGCCTCTAGAACCCGTCACGAGAGATGAAAAGGCAGTAGGAAAATAAGTAACAGTTTCATGCAAGCAAGAGTAAATTAGACTATCCAAGCTTTATTTGATCAAAGAAATGTCACATGCCAATCAGAGGCGAACATGGTTCGAGTTCTTAGGAACTCTTTAACACACTGATCGTTTCACTTTTCTTATGCTTTCACTGCTTTAGTTGACCGCTGCATTCCTGTGCCCTGGCATTGCTAGAGCTTAACTGACCTGTAGAAAAGAATATATGTCAGTTCGCTACCACCAACCAGAAGGCCATACAGGTAAAAAAAAAAAGCCTAACTAATAGTAGTATTGGAGCCTGATCCACCTGAAACAATATAAATAGAATAATAATAATTAAATTTCTCTTGCAAAATTCATCAAGTTGCTGTCGAGAAAATATAAAGGAACAAATAAACAAAGAATGACAGAAGCTTACAGCTGCCACTCATTCTTGCCGGTGCCGTTTGAGGTTTAATTGAAATAGATCTCTTCTTTCTTGCCAGTTTGTATATTTTTGGCGGATCTGCTTGTGAAATGCCTCTTCTGGCTCACTTGAAAGATGCATAGCAAGAAGCTGTACTTGAAGAGTTGTTGGGTTTTCGGTTATGGCACTCAAGAATAAATGAAGCAGTCTGATCCAAGAACCTACAGCTGGTTTCTAGTTATGCCTACTTGATCCTTCCATTGAACCCTAGCTTCTCCTTTAGCTTCCATAGTATCCAGTTTCAGCAACTGCCTCATCAGCAATTCTGTCGAAACAACCAATTCTTGTTATGCAGCTTTCGTTCCACCATTGATAGTAACTTCAATTGCAGACATTTGCTAAAAAAATGTAAAGACAGTATATGTCAGGCAATATTATCCAACCCTCGCCAATACAAACTAAGAAACAACGGCAAGTCAATACAAACTCTAAGACAATGTTATCGAAAGTCAATGCTGCCATCCTTTCCAAGACAATATTATCCAACCCTCGTGATTGCAATTTTGGAAAAGCTTCAGTACTCTTTGCAGTAAATTAGCACAACAAACGTGCATATCATAAATATAGATTTTAAGCACAGACCGCCACAAATTTGAAGCTACCAACTCACATAGATCTATGAACATCTGTTTTAGTTATTAAGCAAGGCAAGGGCAATTGTATCAAGTGACTAAACAACCCAAGGCAGCTAAACTGTGGAGGTTGAAGGAACATATGCAGAACATAAACTAATCATGAAGGGCAAATTCAGGGGAAAAGGCAAAAAAAAAAAGGTTAAATACACTTGTATATCCAAAACGTTCACGATTGTGCCAATAATAACCAAATTTCCCGAAATACCACTTATATCCGATTCCTTCACATTATTTAACGGTGTTTTTGGATATACAAGTGTATTTAACAAAAAAAAAAATATTGGGAAATGGATAGATTTGGCAAAGAACAACTTTAAAACATGGATATAAGTGGTATTCCGGGAAATTTGGATATTATTGGCACAACCGTGAAAGTTTTGGATATACAAGTGTATTAAACTAAAAAAAAATGAAATTCGTTGGGGGCAAACTTCAAATAAAGAACTTTGCAGCCTTGGAATGCTTGTTAAAAGAAGAGATTGTATATTATAAGGATTAGAGATAGTAGCATACATATAATACTGTGAGAACAACCAAATATAGATAGAAGTCGACAACTATAGTCGGGCTCAGATAGGTAAAATCGTGTGAGTGGCAAAATATAGATAGATGATAGCAAATTGTATGATGACAGATGAACTCAAGTTCATTGCGGCCTTACCTCCTTGGTTTGATATACTTCGCATTTCAAATTCATACAAAACTATCTTTTTACCGGCTCTCATAATCCATGATTGCTTTGGGCACATGAAACAAAATTCTGCAGGTTTGACAGTCAACAACGACGAAAAACTAATTCTCATTCAATTATCACTTAAAATTAAGAATAGGCATTCATTCGCAGCAAGTCTCATTGGCGTACTAAAGTAAAAATACTAATAACCAAGCATTTTAATCTAAATGGAACCAATTTCGGGAGGCCTCAAGATTATAATGACAGGTAATACATAAAATGAAAGCAAGAGCTTTGTAGTATTCAAGTAAAAGATTAAGAGAGGAAACCTTTGCAGCTTACCTTGTTCATTAGTTTCAACTTAGTCCGAAGAAAGAATAATTGACCCTGGTGGACCTTAACCATAATCTCTTTGATTTGCTTCTGCACTTCATGGTTTCTGTAAAATGCATCTGAGTAGACGCAGACGAAAGTAAACATTGATCAGACATGGCGGTCTATTAAACAATGCGTGGAGCAAATCAACAAAGTACAACACAGATAATCTAAACCAAATATAAACAATAAAAAAATCTACTAATTCATGAAAAAGAAGAAAAAGAAAACTGATAGTCAAAAGAACACGGCACAACTACCTGTATAAATATTCAACCCTGAACTGAAGAGCATGTTCCGATACTTGAAGCATGTTGAGCCGAAACAAAAACAATGAAGCATCTCGGACGATATAAAGGAAAAAATTTAAAGCGGAATTGAACGGTTTCCCAATACAGCCATTGTTAGTTGTATGCTTAGTCCTAGATTCCATTTTAGTCGGAAGAAAAACTATGATTTATGATTCATAGCAAACAAAACCCAAAACAACAGTGAACATCTTAGACCATAAATTATATATGGTGGAGTAAAGGAATGAAAGTTCTCGTGTGAGTGGTCTAAGCCATCACCACAAGCTTAACAACAACACCTCATGACATGAAAAGCAAACAACTGGACTCGTAAATTAGAGTAACCTACTCATGACATGAAACATGATGAGAATTGACAATAGAAAATGCACCAGAGCTTGCTGCTACTACCATATGATGGAGAAAGTGGAATTGAAAGTATCAAACAAAAAGTGTGACTTCGCCTTAGCAGGAAGCATTTTCCTTCCCCATCAAACTCCTCTTTAAGGCCTGCTCCTTTACTGTGGGCAAGAAGAAACAGAGAAAAAGTAAACAAAGGATCTTAATAAGTAAAAAAAATGAGCTCAATAACACAAAGAACAACATCATCCATGATGAAACAATGACTGCAATTGAACAAAATTACTTGTTGGCATCTATAGTTTTCATAATGCACCCTATGGACAGCAAAATGCATATGCAAAGCAGATGTAAGCTTGTATTAGCTATTGTGGAACTTCATGGCACTTACAGAGTGCTGCAGAACCATAAGGTAATCTTGCATCTAAAAAAAGAAGAAAAGAAATGAACCCATATACTGTCAAGAAAAATAAACTCAGGGTTGCTTTCTCCCATTTATTCATGATTCAAGGCTTTTTACAATATTCTGAAAGAATACAAAAAACCCAACAAAACCATTTTACGATGAAAAAATGTAGTTGGTCAAACGACGAACTATTGAGGAAAAATAACCACTGCACCCGGTTGCTTCAGCCATCAAACCATCACAATCACCACTGTGGTATACCACAAGTCCAAACTGGTTCACAAATAACCTGACGCGAATGAACTCTAAAACTACACAAACAAACTAATTAAACACCAAGTATAATTCCTTCCTACCACAACGTTATGGCAGAGGTACCTCACAAACCCACCAAGCGACCTGAAAGGCTTCCATGAAAACCCAGTCCTAGTTTAAGGGAAATAAGCTATAACCATATTAATCTTGAACCAACATAAAAAAGAAGTTACCTTGCACTCAGTATGTGAGATTTGTGCGGGGACATGTAGCAAAAGGAACATATTTGTGGTTGAGACCCAAAAACGTAAGCGAGTCGAGGATAAGAGCAAATTGGATTGGGAGCAAGGTCTGCAAAGGGTCTTCGAAAATGACCAGTGTAGAATCATCGGCGGAAAATTCTCCTATGGGCAAGTTTGCTGCCGACGTGGTTCCGAGGCCAATTAATTCATTGAGAAAACGAGCTGTCCTAGTTTTTTCATCAAATAGCCTTCAGAGATGCCGGAGAAATAAAGAGACAGGATGAGAGTTGGAACACAAAATCAATCATCCAACCAATAAAAACAAACTCCATGGCATAAACTAAAACCCAAAAAAAAAGGAACCGAAGAAAGAATCCAATAAAAATCAACGGCAGTCCAGAAACTGAAAACCCTAAAAAGAACCAAAGAACGCAAAACAATCAGAACCAACTGGAGATCATAAAAAAAACCCCAAAACCCTAAAAATAACCAAAGAATGAGCACAAATAGAGTGTAGTGAAAGAACTGACCATGATACAATAATAAGGTGGACCATCGTCCTATCCTGAGCAAGTTCGTCGCCGACATGACCTGAGCAAGCTCGTCGCCGACATGTTTTTTTTTGGCTAATGAATCATCTGAGAAAAGCAACATTTCTTGTTTTATTACCAGATCACCAGCACAGAGAGAGAAATAGAAATTGAGAGGCGAAAGAAGGTACCTGAGGCCATGAGAGCAAGATCGATATGATACTTTTCTTCAATGTACCCTTCTTCTTCCTCCTCTTTTTCTCCTTTCTTCCCTTCTTCATCTTCCTCTGTTTCTCCTTTCTTCCCTTCTTCATCTTCCTCTGTTTCTCCTTTCTTCCCTTCTTCATCTTCCTATGTTTCTCCTTCCCTCGTTTTCTTCCATCACAACACCTCACTATCATATCCATCGACGGCATCATCACCCCCCCATCGGCGTTGAACTTTGTAATTTTTTTTTTTTTTTTTTTGTGTGTGTGGTAGGGAGAGCTAGGGGTGGGCAACGAGAAACGGGTATTTGGGTATACCCATACCCGTCCCGTTTTTTAAGGGTTACGGGTACCCATATTACCCGTAATATTTTAAACGGATGGGACTTGGAATTGTATAGTCCTAATATGGGTACCCGCGGGTTACCCGCGAATACCCATTTGGGTAATATGGGTACCCGTTGTACCCTTTCAAATTACAAAGACATATAATTCATCTTCTCTTGGAGCAAGTAATATGGGCGTCAGACTAACTGTAGAACCTGTAACAGTAAAAAAAACCCTTATATTCAGCATCCACCAAAAACAACCACCAACAAAAGGGGTAAGCTTAAAGTAAATATTACCTGGCACAACAAGGCGACTGTAGTTCCGGACATGTCCTAGTCCTCTTGGAGCAAGTAAAACCTGTTAACACGGTTGCAAATCAGACTTGTCTTACTTTTCCAACACAAAAGGATATGAATTCATTCAGAACTGGGGAGCAGCACCAACCGCAATCTCATGATTCAATTACAATTCGGTAACTTCTAACCCCATTCCCTCACAGGGCATATTCAGTTATTCGGTAACTTCTAACCCCATTCCCTCACAGACGCAACACGCACGTTCAACGGCTGAGTTCTGTGTAACTTTTTTTACTATTTCCCCTTCCTTGATTCCTTTTCATCTTCATCATCATCCCTTCTTTGGGTTGTAGGAATTGGTGTAAGTTGCTACTTGTGCAACCATTTTGTGTTTTGAAATGAATGCTTTGGATGTAATTGACTAATTGTCTTTAGGTAAAATATGATTTAAACTTTGGGTATTTATGGGTAATATGGGTACCCGTTATCCGTCCCGTACGGGTAATGGGTACCCGTTTCCCATATGGGTTTGGGATATGGGATGGACTTTGGTCTCCAAATGGGACTGGGTACCCGTTTAAAACGGGACGGGTATCCCGTCCCGTCCCGTTGCCCACCCCTAGGGAGAGCTAGGTCGGTGAGAAAGATCAGCGAGAGATGAAAGAGAAGAAGAAAATAGAAGAAAGAGAAGTTTGTGTGGCTGGGAAGAGGAGGGAAGACTGAAAAGCAAAACAAATGGTAAAAAAAAACCTCAAGTTTCCCCCAGCTCCAAAATGGTCAGCCTTTTCTTGTGATCTTATGTAAGGGTGCAAAATTCGTACTCGACCCAAAATTCGGCAACACGTGAGCAACGTCAAGAAGGGTGAGTTTGAACAAATTCACATCGACCAAACTCTTCAATTAAAAAAGCGTACAACACTCGTCCTCTATCCAAAATTTACCAACACTGAGTCAAATTAGATAAAATACTCATTGATTTAGGTTCAAATTGGGCAATTGGCACAAAAAGAATTAGTTAGAACAGTTTACCAAAAGACCTAGAATAATCAGTAACAATTTAAAATAATTTTGATATCTTAGTCTACAGGACACTACGAAATAGTGGCCCATCTTACTGGGTCGACATTAGGTCAAATATCCAATGATTTAAGTATGCAAAACTCGTTGTTAATCAGTTAGCACAGTTGACCAAAGGATTTAGATTAGATTAATCAGTAACAATTTTAAATAATTGAAAATTCATAGTTGGCGAGACAGTAAGAAACAGTGCCTCATCTTATCGGGTCGACATTAGGTCAATACCCAATGATTTAAGTGCAAAACTCGTCGTTGAGTAAAAATTTGCAAATAACGGGTTCAACTCCCTTTAATCGGATTGATGTAGGTTGAATACACATTCATTCGATTGACATAAATTAACTAATTAGAACCTATATGGCACAAAAAAAATCCTCCAACCTTCAATGATTTAAGCATGAATAACTCATTGTTGAGCCAAAATTCGTCAAAACCGGGTTCAACTCGTTTAAACGGGGATGAAGAGGTCGAACACCCATTGATTTGGGCTTAACTTGGATTTATTTGTCAAAAGTTAATAAATTAGAACTTTAATGGCACAAAAAATTCTCGAAACTCTAATGATTCAAGCATAAAACTTGTTGTTGAGGCCAAATTCGTCAACAACAGGTTCAACTCGCATTAACCGGATCGAAGTAGGTAGAATACCCATTGATTTGGGTTCAATTGTCAAAAGTTAATTAATTAGTTGAGGCAAAATTCGTTGAGGCAAAATTCGTAAACATCGGGTTCAAGTCGCTTAAAACCATATCGAAGTAGGTCGAACACCTATTGATTTGGGTTCAACTGTTGAGTCAAAATTCGTAAATAGTGGGTTCAACTCGCTTAAACCTAATCAAAGTTGAGGCAATAAAATTCCAACCCTCGTTGAAGCAAATTCGTAAACAACGAGTTCAACTCGCTTAAACCGGATCGAAGTAAGTCGAACACCTATCTATTTGGGTTCAATTGTTGAGCCAAAATTCATAAACACCGAGTTCAACTTGCGTAAACCGAATTGAAGTAGGTCGAACACCCATTGATTTGGATTCAATTTGGATTCAATTGTAATAAGTTGATTAATTAGTACCTCAATGACATAAAATTCCTCCAAGCTTTGGTTAATTGCAAAATAATCACCCTTGTGATGTGACTATAAGTAATAGTAACCCTTCTACTTGTTAACCGAATCGAAGTAGGTCGAACACCCATTGATTTGGATTCAATTTGGATTCAATTGTAATAAGTTGATTAATTAGTACCTCAATGACATAAAATTCCTCCAAGCCTTGGTTAATTACAAAATAATCACCCTTGTGATGTGACTATAAGTAATAGTAACCCTTCTACTTGTTCTTTAATAAGAAGAACTAGACGATGATTCATACGCTGGTAAACAGTCCATGATTGAACAAGAAGTAGATCATACGAGAAGAGGTAGAAACTGACTCAAAAGAACTGGCTAAAATTCTATTGATGGTGGGTCTGCAATAACATTGATCCTGATCAGATACATCACTCTAACTCGGTTTCAGGAGGCCTGGTTTTGTTAGCATGACTCTCCTTAATCCACAAATTACATGTAGAAGACATGCAACCCTACTACTTCTTGGCAAAACTGATGGCCATTGGGTTTTGAGGAGTGATTTTGAACCCTTTAAGTGCCTGCATGGCCATGGATGACTGGACGTCGTCTTCAAATTCAACGAATGCAATGCCAGGCTTAGCTTCCACCATCCAGACTTCCTTGAACCCGGGGTACTGCTGGAACAAGACATGCAACATCATGCTTGTGGTTCCATGCGGCAGATTATGAATGAACAGTATGTTGTTTGGTGGAATGGTTTCTTGGTCGCCACCACCACTAGTTGGGCGGAAATAACTCTGCACATCACAAAGGAGAAAGAATTCATGATCAAATGGCAAATCTGACAAAGGCAATGTATAATTAACAGACTCATGCTTTGGAGGTAAATTTATAAGATTCTGACGGAGAAGTTAATATCCAGAATACATAAACAGACAGTATCAGCACACTTACAGGGCCTCTGTTATTGTCAGCAGTTGAACCATTAGCAGTTGCAGATTGTTGAGCTTCTTCAGCACGCCTCTTTCTCTCAGCTGGAGGTACAGATATAGGCACATGATTAGCACACGACGTTGAGCTCAAAAGTTTTTGCATGACATTGGAGAATTGACTAGAGAATGCAAGATTTCAATTGTGGTGTGCTCAAAAGTTCTTGCATGACATTGGAGAATTGACTAGAGAATGCAAGATTTCAATTCTGGTTACCTTTTTCTTCTTCTTCTTCTTCTTCTTCTTCTTCTTCTTCTTCTTCTTCTTCTTCTTCTTCTTCTTCTTCTTCTTCTTCTTCTTCTTCTTCTTCTTCTTCGCATTTGGATCGTAAACTCCTTCTGCCTCTACAAGGCAGTCCGACTTTGTTTTTGCATATTGGATACGCTGCACCAAACCAAGATCTTATAAGCATAAAACTGCAAAGCAGGCATGTTTTTTCTAATATATTGTTATTATATAAATGTATGATGGCAGAAGTATATAGTAAGTAAGCATGGTCCTTCATATCTGTATCTTTTATTCTTTTAGCAAGGTGCTTGGGACTAATTGAACTTGTTGACAGCTTAATCCAGAATATGTACAGATAAAATATAGATGATACTGCAAGGATCTTGAAGAGCAACTATGAACTCATATGCACGAGGGCTTACATACTAAATAAAACTTCCTGTCATTGAAAAAACTTTTTCGTCCAAGTCCAAATACAGGAGCGCAATAGATCACTAAATAATCTTAAGCAGCTTCTTCTTTCAAATGGATAGTCTGACCAATTTACAAAAGTATTATATATTTTTCACTTTACATCTTTCCTTATCCCAAAATAAGTTACTAGCTCATCAACGTACCATAGGCTTGTCGTAAAATGGAAAACCCTGCATTTGCCGCACTGCATTACTGGCAGCTATTACTTCACTGAAGCATACCCATGCTTGCCCTCTGAGTTTCTGTGTCTTCAAGGCAACAACATCCAGAATCCTTCCATATTGAGAAAACAAACAGTAAAGCGATCTTCTCAATTCTGAAAAAGAAAATGATAGATATAGTGAAGTTGTCACAATTAACCAATATGCTACATTCCCCAAATTTTCATAGAAAAAGGACACATATTGCAACAAAAGACAGTGATTGAGATTCAAGTTCCTGACTCATTAACAATGCTTGCTGCGGAAAGTGCTATCAGGGATCACAAACATGAATGAAATACGAAACAAATGGGACAGCTTAAAAGCATTCAATGGCCATTCAATTGTTGGTTTAAAATGACTCTGCCCACAAAAGCACTACTTATCGTCTATGGACCGAGATAGTGTATTAGTGTGAGTTGATTACTCATTCGAAAATATACAAACTAGAACCCTTTATCCCACTGATTCTCTCTTCCACAGATACAGTTCTGAATAAGATGTTTCAGCAAAGTAGCTATCTTCAGGTATACCATCAGTAAAGTATGCAAGACGATGTCTTCTGAGGCACTAAACTTAAGCATCCCTAAATCAAACAGACTGCTACCCATCCTTTTGATTGAAGTCTCCAGAAAATAGACATTCAAAATCAGTACTTCTGCGACGAAACTGTGCACACCAAATTCGAGCGGAATTACTCCGCGTTCCAACTTGAACAACATAGAATACTTCCCCCCCTCCCCCTAAACCCTATGAAACGAGGAAGAAACTCGATCCCCCATTTTCACTCTATAGGTTGTCTAAAGTTTTTCAGCGGGTAAGAGTAGAACCAAGAAACCATGAATCGAGACGGCGAGATTTAGGGTTCAAAATTTTTCCGTTCCATTCATTCCAAAGCCCAGAAAGGCAGAGAGAGGGAGGATAGTGTCGTACCTTCTTTCTTGACCTTCTCGTTGAGGTTTTCTATGTAAATGGTTTGATTCGGGGGAATGTCGGCCGTTAGCATCGTGACTCCCTCGGCGGAGAAGAAACGTTGCGCGGTTTGCCGCTTCAGCACGGTGGTAGGAGTAGGAGGAAGGGAGAGGAAGCGACGTACACTAAGTATGAAGGATGGTTACCAATTAGACATTTTATATTTGGGCTGTTTGGGTGAGCTGGTGCCCAACGATACAACTTCTCAGCTAGATGCGGTGAGGTCCATTATGGATGGATACCCAAACTAGAGGGCCCAACTGTATTATTGCAGAACGTCAACTTGACCAGAGCTACAGATTCTTAGGTGAAGGCGATTAGGAGTAGAAGTTTGGTTTGTGGTTTGCGGATAATTATAAATCATAAAAAAAATGTAAATGTTGTGATTAATTATGGATAGTAAGTTGAATATGGTTAGTAAAATCATGATTTTCAAAACCACATTAAGCTAGCGAACTTTTGTTTTATCTTTAAGCTAACCATACTAATTTCTAATATTTTATAACATTAGAAGTAAGAACTTAGTTCGTAAAAGGCTAAAATAACCTGAAGTAAGGACTAACTTTTGTTTTTAGAAGGTCCACAACTCTTGGTTATGCATTTGTACATAGTTATATATGACCTCTTGATTTTGAGTGGAGTCGAATTTAAAGGTGAGATTATTTTTTTTATATCCCTATCTTTTTTAACTGGAATAAAAAAAATTGCACATATGGAACGAGGTTCATATAAGGAACGGGTTTATATATTTTGAGAAAAGTAGTTGTTACTTTATACCACCTTTGTTTTTAGCTCAAATTTTTTAAAAAAAAATTGCATATAAGGAACAGGTTTATCGTGATCTATCATGATCTACAAATTTATGAGAATATTTCAAAATCAAATCTTTCACTATATTTTAGGGTGGGTAGCTAGCTGCAGACGATAGTAAATGGTGTTAATAACTTAGGGTCGTTTGGATTGATTATTTGTTGGAGTGTGGTATTTGTGCACAAACAACTTAATTTTTGTAACTGTGGTATTTCAAAGTTATTTGATATTGAAATTTGGTATTTTGATTTCAATTGTCTTATTTGGTTGAACGAGTTATTCGTATGTGGTATTTCATAAAAAAAAAAATCAAAATTACATTATTACTCTATACCCACTGCCCTTCTTCACTACTTCAAGTAGGGGTGGGTATTCGGTCGGTTCGGCTTCGACCGAATCAAAGTTGTGAATACCGGGTCCCCGAATTCTCCCAAATCTCAAACCTAATTCGAATCGAATTATAATTCGGTTCGGTTTGGTTTTTCACACAAAACTGAATTTGTGAAGCTATTTATATCTTCTCACTTTTAAGTTATTTTTTACCCCTAATATAAACAATAAATATGTAATTATATGCATCATCAATGATAAAATCAAACTTTTCAACACATAAGTCATAAAACATTTCAAATATTTAAGTCTAAAAACAACTACAAACATAAAATCCACCATTTGGAGCTTGCTATTATAGTATTTCGGTTTTTCGGTCGGAAATTCGGTTCGGTTAAGAGAATCCTGGTTTTCGAACTATCCATATTTTCCTTCCGAACTTCGAACCGAATAGCATTAATTCGGTTACTGAACCAGTTGCCCACCCCTAACTTCGAGGTTCTTCTCCTCCTTCTTCTCAACATCCAATTTCAATTCTCTGGAAACCAGAAAAAACTGCCCATTCTTCTCTAATCCAAATCTGCCCATTCAATTATTTCTTTGCTCTGTAGTGTATAGTGCCCATTCAATCATTTCTCTACTCCAAATCTGCCCATCGTCCCGCCGCCAAAACCCAGGAACTTCCATTCTATTTACCCTAATCAACCTTCTTCCACCATTCTATTTACCATCAATTGAAACCATGAGAGGAAGAGAAAAAAATCCAGCAAAGCCTATAACAATCGAACAAATGAACTACAAAAAAAGACTAAAACCAACACCAAATCTGAAAAAAAGACCCAGCAAAAGCACGCAACAAACAGGGGAAGGAGCAGAGCCACGAATCAAAATCTCTTCCTTCTTTTTTGAACTAGGAATACTCGATGACTTTGGAGATGGTGATTCAACTGGCCTGATTGAGGTCGAGGAGCTTGGTGATGAGGCGGCGAGAAAACCAGAACAGCGACCGGATAACTCTCTGTTCGTCGCCGCCGACAAGTTCTCTGTCTTCTCTAAATGCCGCCACCTAGGGTATCTAACAGCCCAGGATTTCAATCCCTAATCAGTCCCACTTCGACCGTTGGAGAAGAGTGGCATTTGACTGACGAAGAAGATGATTCAAGACACTGATCCACACTGTTTTGATTAAGTGCACCGTTTTACTTTCTCCATCCAATGTTGTGTCGTTTTTGCCTTTCTTCGAATCTGTGTTTACTTTCCTGCCAAGCTTGAGGTTGTTTCCATTTCAAGCAAACAAACAACATGTAGTTGTGTATGCTTGTCTTGTTCTGTAATGGGTTCAATATAAGAACCATATAAATCAATGAGAAAGACTTTAAGCCTTAGGGTTTCAACCTTTGTTATGGTATCAGAGCCCTCCACCTAAACTTGCTCCGCCTCCATGGCTGAAAACGCTAACAATGATGGTCAACAACTCCCTCCAGAACCACAACCCCAACCACAATCACAACCTCCACCAAACCTTTACCAGCTTGGATACGCAACAACATCATGATTCTGAGTTGGATTCAGCAAGCAGTTGACTCAGAAAGTCGCAAGACTATACTTTCTAGCAAGACAACAGCTGATGCCTAGAAGAGTCTGCAATCTAGGTATGGTTCTGGTGACCTTATTCGTGTTGTTGAGTTAGAAGAAGCCCTGTCTTCTTTGCATCAAGGTAACCAAACAATTATAGAGTACTATGGCACTGTCATTACTCTCAAAGATGAGCTAGACAATTACCAGCCTTTGTTCCCATGTGATTGTACTCCTACTAGTCATACAGAGTGTTGAGCTATGAAGAAAGTCTTAGAGTATCATGACACAAATTATGTCATTAAATTTCTAACAGGTTTGAATGAAAACTATGCTGGTGTTCGAGCCCAAGTTCTCTTTGGAGATGACTTACCTACAATCAATAGAGTTTTTCAAAGACTCTTGCAGCATGAGAGACAGATCTATGGCACACAAAAGGGAAAGATGGTAGCTTCTGCTAGTTCTGATTCTATGGCTATGGCTATACAAGGAGGCAACAAGAGGTTTCCTCCACCTGCTAAACGTCCTTTTTGTACTCACTGCAAGAAAGAAGGTCGCACTATTGGCATTTGCTATCACATTCAT